AAAAAAAAAAAAAAAGAAGCGAAAAGGGGATATATTATATTTTCAGCACAGTTCAGTTGAAAGGTGAAAACTGAGAGTATCAGTAATTTGCACACACGTATCGCTCCACACGCTGATAACATGGACAACACCTTAAGCACAGCGCCAGACGAGCCACGGACCGATGAGAAGCCATTTGTGGAAGAAGAGAAAGCGGCAGAGGTCAGCGACACCGCCGCAGTTGCCCCGCAGACACCGCAAATATTTCCCGCAGATGAAACAGTAAACGCGGTTGAGCAAATTAATGCAGCGGGAATGGAGAGCCCAGAAGAAAATGTTAGCTTGCCTGCCATGGCTGCCTCAGATGATAATATGCCTATGCCAGGTCATATGGCTCCCGCTGGTTATATGGGCACCGCTGGGCATATGGCCCCCGCTGGATATATGGCCACCGGTGGATATATGCCAACCGCTGGGCATATGGCTATCCCTGGACATGTGGCCCATGATCCTTCCCCTCATATGAGCAACCCAATGGAGGTGACTAACAACTCTGAAGCAGTATCAACCGCAAGCGATGAAGCCAACCCATCAGACCAAATGACTAACGTAACGGGTGGTGCCACAGCAAGTCAAGCTTCAACCCCTGCAAAAGAAGGGCAGGTACAACTTGAAGAAGACGAAACCGTCAATGAAAACGAAAACAAAGAAAATACAGAAAATATGAAAAGAGAAATAGAAATGATCAATGGTAAAGTGATTACAAAAAATAATGAAGACGTGTCCAAAGGGTTTCTTTCACCACCTGTATTCCACTTAACAGAAATTATGCACAATGAGAGATGCTTCAAAAGAACAAAAGGTCACATCGCAGTTGAAATAAATGGAGATATTTGCATATATGGAGGAATTGAACAGAATAAATGTGTTAATAATTTTATAAGGTATGTGCCTGGCATCAATTTATTTGAAAAAATTAGATTAAATTCAGAAGATATTGCTCCTCGAGCATTTCACTCGGGAAATGTTATTTCGGAAAATAATAAAAAGAGCATTGTTGTCTTTGGAGGAATAAATGCAAATGATGAAGTACTTGATGAAACGTTTAAATTTGATGTCCAAACAAAGAAATGGGAACGAGTGGAGAGCGCTACAAAACCGTATGCTAGATATAAACACGCTTCCTTCAATTTTAATGATGCCATATTCATTCATGGTGGGCTCAATTCAAACAATGTTGTTATGTCCGATCTGTGGTGCCTTTCTGGGGGCGCCTGGAAGGAAATTTATCAGATGCATGAGAGGCCCGAAGCTAGATATGGACATAGTTTAATCTTTACCTTGTACGGAAATGCAAAGCTTGTCTTTCTCTTTGGAGGAAATAGGAAAGGCTTCAGTGGGGCTCTCGCGGACACGTGGATTTTTAACCTCAACACGTGTAGGTGGAAGGAAATCACCAGGACCGAGGGGCCCAAGCCCTGCGCACGATGGGCGTAAGGA